AAAATAGTTTTAATCTCGTATTTTTTCGGTTTTTGGCTAAGAACTCGGATTATGGCTCAAAAATAGTGTTTTTTGGGTGGAATCAACGTTCTTAATCAGTTTCAACTCTCTATAAGGGCTGTCCAAAAGCTGAATTCGAACCAAAAACCTATTTTTTGAGGGTAGATTAAATGCAAGCATGTCAAGGGTAGATTAAATGCATTATTGCATCCCTAATCTACTACAATTTAAATATCTTTTAAGCATGATTATGGAGTTATAATATGTGCTTAAGTTGATATGTTCTTTTTCACATAAACTTGTTTTTCACAATTATGCAAATAAATTGCATTAATGTTTGAATGTTTGTTGTGAATGTGTAATTTTAAGTTCCTTGTATATTAAAGATCCAATCTTTGAGTGTTTAAATGGTTGGAAATTTGATTCTCAAATTCCATGGTTAAACTAATTTTGGATTTAATCATTTTGTGTTGATTAATGTACTTGTGATTAAATTTTTGATTAATCTTCATATTGGAAGATGTAATTTTATTAATTTTTACACAAGTTAAAAGTTGCAAAATTTTCATTAGATGATTGGTTTTGTTTTCCAACTCCTTGCTTTGTCAAAATCATTATTAATTTGCATATTGGTCAAATTAATTTTGGTATAGCCCTTCAATTTTAAAGCATCAAGAAAGACCTAAATTATATAAAAGGGAAATTTTGGATGATTTAGGCTTGTGACCATTAAAATTGAATTTAATTAAGTTGGACTTATTTTATTTTTATTTTGCCCTAAAATAATTCTAAAATAAATTTAGATTAATTTTACGTTACACATAAATCGGGATTAAAAATCCCGAGAAACGGCACAGAAATCGAGGCAAAAACGCCCAAGCATCACCAAGGCTAGTCGGGCTGCCTAGGAGCCCACATGTGGCTGCCTTTGGTGCGCACAGGGTTGTGCCTTGAAATGGTGCTGCTGTGTGGCGAGGGTGCTGTTGCGTGCTGCCGTAATGCTGGATGCGTGGCCTTAGGCTGCTGGAGTGCTTGTGCGTACTGCTGGGCAGTGAGGTAGCAAGCCCCAGCCAGCCAGGCCACTACTGCCTGCGCCAGCGACGAACTAGCATGCGTAGCGTGCTGCTGGTGCTAGCTAGCATGGCATGTTGCGCTAGGAAAGCTTGCTAGCAGCCAACACCACACGCAACACATGGGCTGCCTAGCAACCATGGTGCACAGCCCGTACATCGTGCATGGGCTGATCTGCGTAAATTTTAGGCTATCGTAGTTTGCAAATTTTGCCGTTTTGATTTTTTATTTAAAAATTTTAACGAGGTTAGACTTCGGTTTTTCCCGGCTCTTGCAAATATTTTTTTTTTACAAATTATGGGTTGAACTGACTTAATTAATTGGATTGATTAAGTTGGATGCGGAATTTAGTGGGAGCTTAGGTAATTACGTGAACAAATTGCACCTTAGAAATACATAATCTATTAAACATCTTTGACTAGTTTTAATTAGGCGCGTTAATCAGACTAACCGCCTAAGTTAGTTACTAGTTTTGCGTGTTTACTTGTTTATCTCGTAAAATGCATGGGCCATTCACAAATAGTGACTGGGTGAATGAAAGATTGTTTCAAAACTGGTTTTAAGAAAATGGCAACTAGTGGGACCCGACTAGAATAGAAAATACGGACTGCGTTTTCGTTACGTATGTTTGTAAATCTAAATACGGTCTGCGTACCGTTGAGTATTTTTGTACTTTGATATTTAGATTAATCTTAGTCATAGTAACTAGTAATTAGATTCTTGGCGGAGATGTCTCAAGACGGCGCGTCTAAGAAGACGAGCCAAGATGGTGCCTTGAAGAGCCTTGAAGACTTGAAGATTCAAGGGGTCATGCTAGTTGCCAAATGCATCTAATTTTATGCATTTTATATATGTTGTTTTTATCCTTATATATATTTGAATGCTAGATGCATGCTTAGGATTTCAAAATGTTGCGATGATTGTTAAGTTCACTTAAATCAACCAACATAGAAACCCTAGGTCCCTAGATTATTGAGCTAAAAATTTGTCGTTCCAAGGACATCACTTACCGAACTAATGCGCGTACGTGATGGGCTACGCCAAAGCGAGGCATCACTACCTCCCTAGGAACGTAAGGTATACTAGGTATACAAGTTGTCTTGGTTAAGCTAAACGATATCAGTAAGGAGTCCTTAGATGTCGTGGTAATGGAGATAAAACGTCAAGGAAGTATTAGATGCGACGTCTTATCGAACCAAGAGTAGCTTGGAGCTATTAGCAATTCGATTGCTTACCCTAAAATATTAAGTGTTAACACAAGCCAAAGCATGCTTAATCACTTTGTGATCTTTGGGATCTTGGAATCGTTTCATTCTCGCCTAAAAGGGATAATTTATAGTGCTTGGATAAGACGCGTAATAAGATTGAAAGTTTGCATGTATGCTTTGAATTTCAAACTTATTATGATCTTGATAAATGGGTATACTTTGCACTTATATTTGTAGAATTCTAAATCAAATTATATTGTTTCCATCGATTGGTAAAAGGAAATCTTTCGAGAATGGTTCTCAAAGAAAGAAAAGGCATATCTAAGATACAACTTCTCATAATCGACTAAAGCCCAAAAGGGCGGTTGGATATCATGTGTTCAAAATACTAAGTAGTTTTGACAAGCATGAAATATTGAGTTGTAAAACTCAAAATTGTCAATAGTTGACAACCAACATATCTTTTCGCTTCAAACGGAAATGAGTAGGACTCATTTATGAAGTAATTCAAGTACGAATTGGAAGAAGAGATAGAACTTTGTTTTATGGCGCATTAGATGCTTAATTATGCCTAACAAAGTGTAAAAGTCAAGGAACTTAAAGAAATGATTCTTACAGTTATGAGATGATGTACGATAATAAATATAGGAAACAAGGAACAAAGAAAAGAATGAGATTCCTTTTCTGCCCATGAGTTCATGTTAACTTAGCAGTTCATTATCTTCACAAGTATTGGATACTGCTTGAGAAATCCACTTTGAAAGTGACCACAAACTTTTGAAGATTGACTAAGTTATTGACTTACAAGATTTGAATGAAGCAAGTACTGCTACATCAGTTGTAAGGTCATTTGTTTTGTTTAAAGACCTTTTAAAGCTAAGGCTGGAACAAATAATGGTTATTTTGTTCCATAATCAGCAAACGATCCATTTACACACGGAAAGACTCACATTCAAAAGACCAATAGTTGCTAGGTATACTTAAATGACATGGTCGTATAAGCCATGAGTCAAGGATGCTTGATTATAAACAAACATTTCCATAACATGAAAACTCACCGAGTTCAGGTCATGAACATGATTTATGTTCCGAACATCTTTAGCAATGTCACAGCAACAAGGACATACTCAAGGCTCTATTAGATAGACTCCTGATAGATGATCGATTTGAAATCGTGCTAAGACAGGCAAGTCTTACTTGTTGAAATCGACAAAGAAAGGAACTATTGTGCTTGGGATAAACAATTGACTCTGAAAGCTAAAAAGAATCCATTACTTCAATGCCTCACAATTTGCAAGAATATGGCTATATTCATCAAATATGAGCAAACTGGACCTTGGGTAGCTCAAAAGTTCAGTGAAGCATAGAATCAACATGGCAAGCTATCAAAACATCTTGATTAGGTCAAGCAATTTTGCTTAAAGCCAAGAGTGATCACACCAAAGTTATGAAATTGAAATTTCGTAATGATCTCCACAAAGAACATAGATAGTCTTGATGGAGAACTCGATGCAATTTGAAAATGACTCGAATGATGGTAGATCACACCCCTTCCTATAAAGTTCTTAAAGATTTGCACAAACGACTAATGTTACACTAAACAAAATCGTCGAAGCTAAGAGAAGATACCATATTCAGTTATGGAGAGAAATAGTTTCTAGCGTCTTTTCATGTATATGTCTAGAGTTCATTGGCTCAGTGGGAGCTAAGTGGCTCACTAAGGGCTAAGGTAGCTCAAGTAGGAGCTAGCTGTTTGTTTCACAACGAACTTTTACCGAAAGACAATATACAGGTCTCTTTGTAAGTATTCAATTGAGACTACGGGCATTACTTCCACAACCTAAATTGAGAACACAGTGTTTGTTGCTCTAAGTGGTGTCTTTCTAGAAAGTAACACATTTCAAAACGAAAAGTGGGAGAAAAATGAACTCGATGACCATCGAGATTAACAACAAATATAAACCGAGAATTTCTAAAGACTTTAGAATGGCTTCAAGGGAATAATTGATCAAGAATACTCAAAGGACTTTACAAGTGCCTTAAATGATAATTCAATCCTCACAAAACTTTAGAAGTATTGGAGTAAAATCAATATACTCAAAGGGCTTTAAAAGCACCTTGAAACTCAATGTTTGATGCAATTGCCCCGTATAGGTATAGAATTCACCAAAGGCTTGGATTGAATCCCATAAATTTCTATTAAGTTAGAAATGAACCTATGACTTACAAGCATGCTATTTAATGGTAAAGGAATAGTATCTTGTAAATTAGCTACGACAAATCCAAATTCCGAAAAATGGTTAGAGGCCATAAAATCCGAAATAGACTCCATCACTAGACGAAAAAAATAAAAAGGCACCGGTTTTCAAACCCCCCCTTTGGCACCGGTTTTGAACCGTTGGGTATTTGAGGGATGCCAAATCCATGAAAATTTGGCACCGATTCAAAACCGGTGCCAACTAAAGCATTTAGCACCGGTTAACCGGTGCCAACTACCATGGCGCGCTTTTTTTTCAATACTATTGGCACCGGTTCAAAGCAAGAACCGGTGCAAAAAGTCTCAAAAAAAAATTTAAAAAAAACTTTTGGCACCGGTTCTAGTAAAAACCGGTGGCAAAAATACCCCAAAAAAATAATAATAATTTTTTTTTTTTTTGCATTTTTTCACTTGAATTGATATAGAAACATTAATATATATATATATATATAAAGTTACATATTTTCATTAAAAAAGGCTGTAATATTACAATTTTCGTCCAAAAAATTAAATAATCCAGACTTATCTCTTATCGACCTTTCTTGCATTTCATTTAACTAGCTGTCCTGGTCTTGTGTTGGTGGCTGCTCTGCTGGCTGTGGCTGTGTTTCTGCCCTGGTGGCTGTGGCTGTGTTTCTGCTCTGATGGTTGTGGCTGTTCTGCTTCTGTGGCTGTTCAAGCATTCTTAATATGTATCCATCACATCTTCCCAAAATGCATGATTGCAGCAACCTGAGGATCCACCTTCACCTAATATTTCCCAACAAATTTAAACCCAATCCAATAGAACATGACCCTGATATCACCAAGGCCGTAAGATTAATTGAACATAAAAATATCATCATCGAATGTGAATTTCCAGTAGTCACAGCGTTACACCAAATAGTCAAAATCTAGAGCAACATAAACCCGATATTTGCAAGCTCCTTAGAAGAGCAAATCCAAGCAGAATCGACACAATGATAGGCAAAACCCATTAACCCGAGTTCAAGAAACCATAATCTACAAGCAGCACCAAAAGAATGATGCATGCCATTGAGAACTCCAGCCACTGTAACACCAAAAGAAATTGGCAAGAAACAAATCCAAGTAAAGGATTAGAAACTCCCTAGATTTTTTAAATGACAAGAAAGGGGCTATGTTACACGTAATGTCGCGCCGCAAGCTAGTTGACACTGTTAGGATACATTCACGATAGAGCTCAGAAGAACTCTAACCTTCAATTTTTATGAAATCCCAACGCGATGCTAAAGCAATGTCAATACCATAGATCATCACAGCTACAAGCGTTAAGCCAAGTACCACCCAAAAAAAAAAAAAAAAAAAACCCTGATCCTATAAAATCATAAGATGAAGCATGAACCTGAAGGCTGAAGCAAAATGCATGCTTAATAAAGTATAGCACACTATGTATTGCACCAGAAGATGCTTGGGCAGCAGAAACAAGAAAAGGTAAAATTTCAGAAGACAGGATAAAGATGAACTTAGCACAACTTGCCACCCCATAATCACAAATAACATATTGACAGTATAATCAAGGACAAATTCGCAAATTAGAGCTCAAAATACAATAAGCAATATCCATGATGAAGGCACCCCTAAAACTCACTAACATTACCAGACCACAAATTCTTAAGGCTGGAGAATCCTGTTAACAATTGACGAGGACCTGAACTTTCCTTGAAGCAGATGCAATATAGATTAAAAAAGAAGATAGAAACATAGACCGTGATAGATAAAGAGAAGAGCAGCCCAACTCCTAGAGTAGGAACAAATTGTCAGCAAATAATTACCCAATAAACAACAAAGTAAGACAAAAACCTGATGTGAAAATTCAGCCACAAAAGTTCAGGAAAAATCAGCAAATCCTATAAGCAAAGCATCTTTCTATCACACAATCAAGGTGGTGTTAATTGACCACCCCATCAAACTAAATGGTAATGAAAGTTCAAATAAAAAAAACAATCAAATAAAGTGCAATTTGAATAAATGACACCCTATATGGAGTAGAGCTCTCATATTTCACCATCATGCCATTAATAAAATGTCTCATCAATAACTTCCATCGGAACGAGCAATAGAAAATTGAATCTGAAACTATGTGGTGTGGAACACAGACCCAGTACAGATGATTCCATTTAGAAAAAAAAAAACTTAGGGAAAAACCAATCAACATAAATATGGCAACTATGAAGAACAGCAGTTGAGGAGAGCAGAGACATAAGAGGACACAGCAATAACTAAAAGTCATTATCACCATAATACTCCCAACATCAGCTATATCATATGATCAAGAAGACCATAGAAATGGAAACCAGACCATTAAACAATGGAAATAAATGTAATAAAGCCAAGAAAGTCATTGGCACCCGTCTTATCATAAAATCAACAGCTAGATATGAAAACCAGACTGAAACAATTGCTAAGAAGTACAAAGCAGAGGCTCCTCCTTCAAATACCAAGAGAGTATGTACATTCTACAATGCCTACAAAAACCAAGAGTATAAGATCATGATGCTGAAGTGTAATGTGAAGTATACAAGAAAAACCATATAGCATAAACTTAAACCTGACAGAAAACAAAGGACATTAAACCAAAGTTTTACCATTGCAAATTCAGACCCTGAGTTAAGACAACTGAGCTCCTCCAAGGTAGGAATTGGGGTATCGATAATAATAATAACAACACTACAATGCCAATAGCATATTTTCGGCAAGAAATACTTAAACCACGTAATACTAGAATATAGTAAAGCTCAAATAGGCAGGCCCGATCTCGAAGTATAACGCCTGAAGCAGCAGCATGACACGCATCCAAGCAACCAGCAAGGATATTGGGTGTATGAGAAGAACTTAAAGCAGAAAGGAAAAAGGGTTTAATGATCTACAAGACACAGAATCCCTATAAGCTAAAGAAAGCCACTACTCCCACAAAAACACTAGGTTGATCTCACACAACGCCTTTGCAGCCAACCTATGATTGAGAATGTATTTAAATCGTAACTGCTTGGAAATATTCGGGAAGAGAACTCCATAACCTCAAAGAACTGATATTAAGCACAGTTATCCATTGTAATGTGCGGATGTGCATCACAAGAACAGAACATAAATATAAAATCACCAGAACCTGAAACAGAAGGGACACCCCATATAGCTAGCTAAATTTAAGCACAATCCAAATCAAGAGAGTACTGCCTACCAAAAAAATCGATCACAAGATAATCTTTTAATTAGATAGAAACACAGAAATCTACAAGATGTGAATTGGCTGCATCAAAACAAAAATGAAGATACCAGATTAATCACCTCATAAAGTCCATAATGTTAATGTGAAAACCACTGGATACACCTAACAGCTTAATCAGTCAAGTCCAACGCAAAAGTGTCAAGTCAATGTTGATGTGAAAACCACTAGATACACCTAACATCATATTTCCTTCATAAAATATTCTAAACGATGTAGACAAAAGCTCTATAGATTCCAAGACTTCACTGAGGTTCTATTTGTATCACACCATAAAATCTACAAAAAAGTGTCAAGTGGAGCCTGCCAGAAACTTTAACCACAAATTTCTCGAATCCCAATCTGCTGCAACCAGCCAACTACCATGTAATTAGGTGCAAAACCAATTTAAGACTACTAGTCCATCAAAAAAAAATTTGCGAGAGCCACAAACATAAATTCCACAATATTCAGTGGGAGGAAAAATCACACTTCCACTTAATAACAAATACTAAAGTCCAAATCCATAACATCTCAACTTCGAGACAATAATCATGTTTGTGTAGGGATCCAAACATCCAGAAAGCACTTCATAACATTGTTCAAATTCAAATTGTTCTAGGCTTCAAACACTCACACCCTTATCCAATGTATCATGTCAGGAGTCACACACAGGCCATATGGGTTACTGAAGCTCGACACAAAGATTCACATGTTAAAAAGCTTGAAACTAATGCAAGTAATACATGTTTCAATGACATAAATTTAGATACATGCAAACAGCTACAGAACCCCCAGCAGACAAAACCAAATTGAACTAACAAACTCCATGTTCAAGGAACATTGAAACTTAAAATTCTATCAGTAATCCCAATCTATTTATTATTGGGAATTCAACCTACAAAGTCTGAGGTTAAAATGGAAACACAAATCTTTTGAAATTTCATCTTTAATTAATCATAATCATATAGAGCAGCTCCATCCAATTAACCTCAAAGATGTACAATTTATACAGTATGATTGAAAATAAAATCCATTTTTTATAATGGACAAAATTCAATCTTTTTAAAATTATACAATTTTGTGGCACAACACACATATATACCATCATAGTTGTAGAATATAGGGAGGCATAATCTTGATTTGTATTGCACATTAATCTCATACACCAACCAGACAATTTAATAGTGAATGAAATAATCAAAATCTTCAGCAGAAATTAATTCTTACAAAATTAAGAGAAACCCAATAAAAAGAAAACAAATTAATTAACAAAAGGGTAATACTGAATTGAATTCATAATGATCAAATATAGTCGAAGTGATAAAATTGATTTAGATAGAGGGTAAAAAAGAACCTGGCGAGCAGCGCCAAAGCAGCGGAGGATACCAGGTTGTATAAGGGATTGTTTGACCAAGAAAAGGGCGGCTCTTTCATCGCCTTTGGCTAATTCATTGTCGAGTTTTTCCAAAACTTTCTTTCGAATACCATCATCATCATTATCACTCCCCTTACCCACACACCCTTTTACTTCCTTAACCTTCATCAACATATCCAGCTCTTTTTGCCTACCATAAACAACCCACAAAACAAACATAAAAAAGACCCAACCTTTTCAGCATTTTCTCAACAGAAATTAAGGAAATTAGAACTAACACAAATAATTAGCGGAATTGATATTCATTGATTCAAAAACTTCATTGATTAAAAAACATTACCTCAAAAGTTGTTTCAATGGAGGAGAAAGCTCAGAACTGCCACAATATAACGCAAAGCTAAATAACCCAGAAACCCTAACCTCGAATTTCTTATTTTTGTTTCGAAATTGATTCGAATTTGTTGTTGCTAAAGACGCACGCACATCGAATTGATTCAAAATAGACGCACCTAGAAACCCTAACCTCCAATATTGTAGAAAGAGAGAAGGAGATCGAAAGAGAGAAGAAAGGAAAGGGAAAGTGGTGGTTATAGAAGGAGATCGAAGGAGAGAGAAGGAGTGTTAGGAAAGCTCAGAAGCACCTTCAATGGAGAAATTCGGCTACGCTTCAATGGAGGAGAGAGAGAGGCAGATCAGATGAGAAGATGAAAGATCGAGGAAATGAAATGAAAACGAAGAAGCTAGCTCAGACCTGGTTTTATTTTTTTTAATAATAACATAGTTGGCACCGGTTTAAGGGGAACGGGTGCCAACTCTATGCCATATTTATTTATTTATTTTATTTTTTTTATAAGTTGGCACCGGTTTGAACCGGTGCTAATTAAATGATTGGCACCAGTTTTGGTTGGAACCGGTGCAAACACTGAATTTTTTAATCCCACCCATTTCTTTTGGCACCGGTTTTCAAGAACCGGTGCTAAAGGAGGGGTGTCTATTTCGTTTTTTCTACTAGTGCATGTTTGGAAATCATGTTTTAAAACTTGATTGAATTGCATGAAGGATGAAAGACCCATAAATTGCAAATAAGTTTTCAAGGATAAAACTAACAAACATGAATATGTATATGCATACATAGCTAGATTAGTTGAAAAGGGTAATCACGGCGTTGATAAGACCTATTCACTAATCGGAATGCTTATGTCTTTTCGTGATTATTCTAGCAAATCAAATTGCGCATATGAAATATGGCAAAATAGACACAGAAACCACTTTCCTAAAAGGAGATTTTGGAAGAGACTATGAGATAGTCTAAAGGGTTTCCTCTAGATAATGCTAGAGTTGAAAGCAAGCTCGAGAAATCCATTTGGGATTGAGGGAAGCATTGCATGAAGGAATTGGAACATGTATTCTCATAAAATTTTATGGAGAATCATAGAAATTCTTATGGATAAGAAGTTTAGTGGGAGAAAAAGTCAATCTTGTAAGGTCCAACAAGAAGTTTACGAACTCTATTATGAAATGAATTTCAAATGCTAAATGCTTAGATTTGAAAGTTTTCAATAATGGACCAAGATAAAGGCACTGCTTAGTACATGTTGGGAATTAAGATCTATTGCATATACTTAATAAATTGTTAGAACGAGTAAAGGAATTTATCGTGTTAAACATGAAAGACTTTGAAAGGCTTTCGACCCATATAAAACTAAGTAAATGTTTGGACTAAGTACTAGCTAGGCTAATACTAAGTTAAATGAGAAAGACTCGAGCAGAGACTTACAACCATGTCACATAGCAAACAACTTAACAAGACTCATTGAAATTGGATGAGCTAAAAGTTACATGAATGCAATAGTTCTGAAATTGAAACCATCACGTATGCTATGATATGAAGTCGTCACCAACTTACATGCTGAGAGCATGAGAAGTACAAAATACCAATCTATGAAATCGTTAAATTGTGCTAAAGAACATCCAAAGTACTTGGATAAGTAAAAGGGATGAGTTCTTGACACAAAGAAACAAATATAATTTAAATTGATGTTGCGAGCACATCCTTAGCAAGGATCGGATCCTTAACAAGAAAGCCATTTACAAGCACGAGCTAAAGTGCATCGTAGTTTTGAGAATGGTAACATGGACATGAATCCATGTGTAAATGTGCGGAAATTTCCATGGTCACAAGTGATTAGGGTACCCCAAATCGTTGTGAGTCTCTTGGAATAGAATCAAGAGCAAAGCTTCATCAGGAACTCTACTGAAATATATGTTGAGAATATTGTTGCCTCAAAGGAAATAATAAAGAAAGGTGTTCAATGGAAAGTTCGTTTTTGAACAGTGATTGTAGGTTGTCATGTAGAAGATCTCAAATCATGAAAATGAGTGGGACCATCACATGGAAAATAAATCCTAAATCATAGATAATCCATAACACTCTCATATTCTATCATCTAATTATGAAAGTGTTCATTAATGAAGATGTTGAGATTTGCAAAGTAAATTGTAACTAAACCTTTACAGTAAGTGAACAACAACATTCAAAATTGCATAAAAGAAATCAAACATATTAAGTATGGGTGTGATTTCTATAAATGTTTAATGAAGATTATTGCTCTTAAAACATTTGAAGAAAACCATTTATCATAAGATGAAACGTTGAAGAGTTGCATGGTGGTATTAAAATATAATAATAAATTCCACAAACTATTTGATTGTGGTTTAGAATCAAATAATGAGTCCATTCGATTTCTAAGAATATTCAAAATAGGGTATCAAGACTATGTCTTGGATAAAGAAACACTTGTTAAGTGAACATTTAAATATCTAAATCGAAAATTATCCCTAATCGAGGTCATTTAACAGATGGACGATTAAAGACCACCAGAGATTAGTGTGTAGTATGATTTACAACACCGTTTCTTGTGTTGCAAGGACGTAATAATCATGAAGCATTTACACAGGTGCTAGTTTTCAACTGCACCTAATCGACGTATGAGAGTACTTTAAGAGATTCAAAATTGTTATAAGTACAGTTCTCATTATAACTATCGGAACTCTTTCCTCAACCATGAGTATTGTGAAGTTTTCTTGTTTGAGTACTAGTTTCTTTGATGTTGCCTAACGTCTGCCGTAACTAGGGATCGTAACGGGAACACTCGGGAGATTAGGTCCTCTTAGAAAGAGAAACTTACAGTACAAGACTAGGAATTTCCCCCTATTAACAATAGGGAACATGTCTTTGTTGTTTACAAGGCCGCTCGAAGAGCGAGACTGTGAAAATGCATGGCCGTGCTCAGATGGATTTTAGAAATCATCTGCTTATTGACCGTCGAACTCGGAGATCGAGAGACACTTCTGAACGTCATAAGGATGACGATGAATCTTACCTTATAGTTCACGAAGCGACATTAGGCGACATAGGAAATTGGCTATACACTGTATGCACACTTGTCTGGAAGGACAAGTGGGAGATTGAAAGGAATGGTGTCCTTCCAACAACTGTATTATTAATTCTTTAGTAAGATTAAGTGATCGGAATGCCTAGGTGGAGGCCGCTTCCAATCAGTAATATTAATGTACAATTATTATTACATCTTAATCTTGACTGAACCCTTCGGGTCGAACCCAATCGAACAACCGATCCGAGACGACGAATCAATTCAAATAATTAGATGAGACGTCGGAGTTTTACAAACAAAGACCTAGGGCGTCGAGACCGAGCATCGCAAAATCACAAGCAACAAGTTCAAGCGTAGCCGTAGCATCGCATTGGTCTAGCCATGTTGACGCTAGGTTAGCTCGAGCTAGCATGCACTTTGCATGGCTAGGCGCAAGCCTAGACGCACCATGTGTGCTAGGCGCACCATCGCTAGCACAAGGTGATTGCGTGCGTGCGTGCCTCACATGGCAGCACCATCGCTAGCACTAGATGCTTGCGTGTGTGTGCCTCGCATGGCAGCATCATGCGTGCTGGCTTGTGTGCGTGCCTTCGCATGGCAACACCAAGCAGCAGCAGCACCCTGTGCTTGCTATGCGTGTGTGCGTGTGTGTGCATGCCATCGCAGCAAGCAGCGAGCAACTAGCAAGCCTCGCCCAGCGCCCAGCAGCCAGCAGCATGCGTGGCTTGCTAGCAGCACGCATGTGCTGGGCCTGCTGGCTGGTGCGTACTGGCCTTTCTACCTGCGCCCAGGCTGGCAGTGCTAGCTGGGCAGCAAGGTGGGCTGCCAGCTCACCCTTTGCAAGTTGCCGGTTTTGAGGAGAGTGGGGACTAAGGCTTACAGCCATGCCTTCGGGAGCAAGGAAATGGTCCCCCTATAGGATATGATCCTCACCTAACCCATTTTCTCCTCTTGCCACTTGTTGCTTTGTGGTTGCATTTGGCTTATAATTTATTTTGGAATTAGATAAATTGGTGGAAATGCACAAAACTCCCACATTAATCAAGAGTGGGAGTTCAAGGGTTCATTACCCTATAAATACCAAGGTTTTTGCATTTGGGAAGAACACTTGAGTGGAACTCAATGAGGCATCTCCCATTAGGTGAGAAAACCTCTAAGTTCGTAAAACTCCAGTTTTTATTGGTCGGGTCCTGACTAACCTTTGGGACTTGGACTGTTCGGGTCGGGGTTCGAGGGTACGAGCCGTCGGAGACCTTGCATTTGCGGGGTTCAAGTAAGAGCTCTTTCGGTGAGCGAAGCACACGTCTAGGGTATAATTCTTTCTCCCTTTTCTCTTAATTATGTATTAATTATGTTTTGCTTGCTTTGCTTGCTTTAGTTATTAAAGCGAGTCTTGGGAGGCTTCTTTCCGCGTAGAGTGGGTCTTTACGAAACCCAACAGATTTGTGCTCTTAATTTTTTCTGTAATTGATTTGGGTAAAAATACCCTAGCCATGCTGTCCAGTTATGCAGTGATACGTGTCACCCTAGGAAGCGCCTAAAATAGGCCAACTAGGATACGACACATGGCACACCAATCAGGAAGGGAAATGGCGGCCTTAAAGGGCCCAATTCCCATAGAACCGTAAAATGGCGCAACCTGTTTTCTTAAGTAAAATAACCTAAGGAAGGGCATAATTCCCAATGCCCTATAAATAGGGGAATTTACTCCATTTTGGGGGCACATAAAGTGATTACAACATCGATTGCATCAATATTCTCTTACAATAGACAAAACACTTAATCTCAGGATCCAAAATTATTCTTTTACTTACCGCATTAATTACACTCCATCTATTACTAACTTGAGCATTGGAGTCAAAACTCCGAACACCCGAAGTTTTCATTTGCTTGCAGGTACATGCGACGAGGATCCTGTCTTGATGATGTAACTCTCCCACAGTACAAATCAGAAAACCCCAAAACATTTGGCACCGTCGATGGGGAGAGTACCTCTAAGATGGTTTCTTAAGAACATGTACCGTCTCCCGAGGACAAACGTCCATAAGCAGAGGTGCATTCGGACCATGATACAGAGTAGGATAAGTTGAAGTGCATACAGCCTAAGATGGTTCTGTCATTACTAAACGCATCTGTCAAAAGGAAAGAAGGGAACAGATTGCCAATCAAGCTGGTGCGAGCAAGTCAACCGGCCAGCCCTAGGATGAAGGGCCGACTTCTCACGTCAACCGTTAAGAGTTCTTGAAATTTTTGACAAACTTCAAGGGCAAGATGAAAGACTTAATCAAAATTCAGGTGGCTGCTCCAAGCAAGGAACAGCCGGCCAAGAAGCCTTCTCGCCCTAAGAAAGCCAAGCCAGTCAAGGATAGGCAGCCCACTCCACAACCTAAGCAGAAGAAAGGGGGCCCGACCCTTAATTGAATAGACCAAATTCCGTCTCTATGAGACGATGAAGAGGAAACCCATTTTGTACATAGAGCCGGATGACAACAAGAAGACTTACACTGATGCTTGGTAGATCATTGAGCACAGGAGTAGTCAGTAATTTTTACATGGCATCAACGCCGACCATGCTAGACAACTTCAGGAATACCTCTCTGAGGTATTCCTATTTAGAGAAAGAGCACCTGCCAGACGTTCATTTCGTTGGACCACATCCTTAAATGATTGGCTCGGCGCCGTATGTACCCCATCAAACATACGGGTTGTTTGCTCAA